GGCCCTGAGTTCAAGCTCTGGTACTAGCACCAAAAAGAAAAGAACCAAGGGGTGGACTTGGGATCTAAGACAGCACAGTTGGCTATAATGACTGTTGCACTCGATTTCCCCACTGGAGCTCAGAGAAACTTGCCAGTGATCTGATTTGGCTCAGTCAGTCTGGGATGTGAGGTCTTGCCTGTTCTCGTCTATAAAGTTTGTCTTGGATAGGACTTCATCCCATGAGCAAGCCCTGGGGCCGGAGAGTCCGAAACAAGCAGCCTGCTGGGTCCCTGTGGAGCCCGCCCTGCCAGGACAGCTCCAGGATTCCTCTGTGTCCACTGAGAATGGGAAGGAGTTCACAATTCACAAAAATACCCACAGGACACTGGGGGGATGGCGGGAGTCCCCAACCGAAGCAGAGTCAGAGTGCAGGGTTGAAGGCTGGGTCTGTGTTCAGGCATGGTAGAAAGGAGGGAGTTCTGTCTTTCACTCACTGTTATCTCTAGGGTAACAGCCTGGCCACTGTTTTCTTCTTTATACTTTTCTGGACTTCTCCAAATCGTGTGTGTGTGTGTGTGTGTGTGTGTGTGTGTGTGTGTGTGTGTGTGTGTGTGTGTGTGTGTGTGTGAGGTTTTTACAATCAGAAGAAAATGTGTAAATACTTTTAAAAAAGTAATCTAGAGAACTAGTAGGAACAAAATGGGAAATGCAGGGAAAGTTAGAAACAGCCAAGTTGCAGGTAGGATCACCTGACCTCTATACCCTGGTTTCCAAGATGGGGGTGCTGAGTGGAAGTGACTTGCCCTTGGCTACTGGAGAAGCAGGTTCTAGAACATCTGAGTTCTAACCCTCTGTACTTCTTACCATAGCCAAGCTCGGGGTAGAGTAGGAGATCCAGATTCTGCCCTCAGAGCTGAATAGCCTTAATTCCAGTAGCTTGTCCAGGACACCAAATAAGCCAGGCAGAGGGCTATGTAAAGGACTTACATAAGTGACTGCTCAGTGGGGCTTAGCCAGCCAGGCTGGGCCAGACAGGGAAGGAGGCTGTTAACCCAAGGAAGATCGTAGTCTTGATACAGGAGGGACACCAGGCCCTCCAAGGCAGGTTCTGAGGATCAGGGAGCTTCAGATACAGGTGTGCATGTGTGTGTGTGTGTGTGTGTGTGTGTGTGTGTGAGAGAGAGAGAGAGAGAGAGAGAACACATATACATGTGTATGGCAGTCAGCATTCCCTGTTCAGCTATAGAAGGAAAGCTCCCAAGCCTGCACTCTGCACTCTTCCCAGTCTGGGAGAGCTTGGGTACAGGTCAGGGCAGTCTCTTTCCTGGAGACTACCCAGCAGCCCATGGCAGTGGTGAGTGGGACCTGCTTGTGTGACTGTAGTCTCTCATTGCTGCTGGGAAGGGTGGCAGGACACAGGCAGGAGGATCAGAGGAGAACCTCCCACTATGTTTTTATTTCTCACTAAGGTGTGAGCACGTGAGGAGGAGATGCAGCAGACAGGATGGCATGCAGTAGGCAGAAGCCTGGAGCTCTGCCTGTCTGCGCCTCAGGCTTCGGCAGACAGTAGACAATCAAATTGTAAGCACGGAGGAGTGTTTTTGTGGGCATTTTGGAGCTGATACCCATTTCAGGTACAGTTAATATCAATGATAGAACTGTCCACCCATCAGATCAAGAAAAGCAAGAGTCTTAAAATGGGAAAGATAAAGGTAAGGTGGGGGAAAAATGCCACAACATTGAAATCATTACCCCTAGATGGCTAGGACAGGGAGGAAGCCACAGCAGAGCTGGACAAGGAGTAGAATCAGAGCACCCAGAAAAGCCTGCAGTGAGGGAGCATTTGGAGATTGTTCCTTTGGTTTGCTTGCAAAAAGGAAGTCTTGGCTGTGTCTCCACTGAAAGCTGAAGAACCACTCATCCCCACCCAACCTCCTAAATCTAGATTGCAGTGGAATTGAAGTCAGGGGCCAACTGGGCAAGTCTGGAAGTCAGGGCACCCCTGTGAAGAGATTCAGGGCTGGGCTGGAGGAGATGGGTGCCCCCTCTGTGGGGAGCTTTTGCACCCAGCTGACCTCTAATGTCATTAGGCTCTCCCTGCCAACCCCATTCTCGTCCCCGTCCTGCAGGCGCTGGCGTTCTGCATTGTGCGCACGGCTGAACCAGTTAGCACATGGCTCAGTGGTGTGCGATTCATTAGCTGGCTCTTGAGGGCTTGGGCAGACTGCTGCTCCCTGTGGCACGTGGCTAGGGGCATCACCATCCTTCCTTCCTGTCCCCCTCCAAGCCTAGAAAATGGTGAACCTGGAAGGTCTAGGTCTGTTCCTGTTGTATGTGGTCGGGGGGCCCAGCTCAGTTCCTTCTTACTGCTCGGCCAGGAGAGAGGTCTTGAACTTTAAGCCTTGGAGAACTCAGTCTCTTCCAGGGACCTTGACCTTGATCTATCCATTGGGTCATGTGGGGCCCTCAGCTGTCCCTTTTACATTTCTAACCACTGCCCTATGACCCCACCCACAGACTGCAGCTGCCACAATCCTACATTGTGCCCCTAAGTAAACAAGCCTGGGACAGAATAAAAGTGTTATTGTAGAGCTAATATATAGGAGGCCTATTTGGCTGCTACTTGTTTGGGAATGGGTCAGGTCTTGCACCCTCCCTCTGAAAATGGTCCCTTGACTCTGGTTTGCTATACTTGTCCCAAAGAGGGCCTTTGGAGGTGGAGATATGCTCAAGTAAGATTCCACAGGGGAGCCACTCTCTCCCACAGCTTAGTGTGCCTCTGCGTCCCCTCACCAGGAAGGCCTTCTTTGGCCTAACTCTGTCCTCCCATGCTCTTATAACTCTGACAGTGTGCCCTTTGCAGTCACATGGAGGCTGCATTTTAAATGATGTATGTAGGCTGGACATCAGTGGCACATGATTGTAATCCCAGCTACTCAGGAGACAGATCTGAGAACCTTGTTTCAAAATCCATTTTTGGTCGGTCAGTCATGGGGCTTGGGTGCTGTCCCTAAGCTCTTTTGCTCAAGGCTGATACTCTACTACTTTGAGCCACAACACCACTTCCGGTTTCCTGGTGGTTAATTTGCGATAAGAGTCTCACAGACTTTACTCCCTGGGCTGGCTTTGAACCATCATCCTCAGATAGCAGCCTCCTGAGTAACTAGGATTATAGGCATGAGCCACCACCACCCAGCCTCAGAGTGCTTCTCGAAGGACCTCTCACACCGTTTTCCCATGCTGTCCAGGGGTATGAGGGACAGCTTGGCTGTTGGAGCAGCCCTGAGTTGGGTGTGCAGGCTGGCCCCTCACAACTTTGTCTGCCAGAGGTTGGTACGCTTGTGTTTGTATTCCCTTGTGGACCTTTCCAGAAGTTTCTAGGGCACCTGTGAAGCCATTTTTGTCTGTCTGCTATTGTCACAGTCTGACAGCATTTCAAAGTGATGGGCCACCTTGCTTATTATTGGCCAAGCAATTGTTGTCCTTGGCGATATCTCTTTCAAGCTGAGTGTCAGCGTCATGCTGCTGTTTCTGAGGCCACATTGCTCCATCTCTGATCCAGGTGTCCTTCAGCGATTTCTGTCCCTTCCTCTCACAGGAGCATGGCTCATGCGTGGCCCTTAAACACTGCATGTGTTTTTTATCTAGTGCCTCTCAGGGTCTTTATTTATTTTTTCTTTTTCTTTTTGCCAGTTCTGGGGCTTGAACTCAGGGCCTGGACATTGTCCCTGAGCTTCTTTTGCTCAAGGCTAGCACTCTAACACTTGAGCCCCAGTGCCACTTCTGGCTTTTTCTGGTTATGTGGTACTGAGGAATCAAACCCAGGACTTCATGCATGCTAGGCAAGCATTCTACCACTGAGCCACCTTCCCAGCCCTCTTTATGTCTTCTTAACGAGACTCTTCAGCCCTTGAGTACAGGGTGTCTATCAAGCCAGAGACCTCTGTGGAAGGCGGCTAGGAGTGGTATGGTCCAGAGAAGGGACACATTCCCTTTTACTAAGGGACCTGCAGCACTAGTTCCAACTCTGGGACAGAGGCTGCCCATGAGCTGTCTGTCTTCAGTGGAGCCCTGGGCCACGCATCCCAGTCTGATGGCTCCAGCAGGCAGGCTCTGCATTCTCCTCCAGAGCACAGCCCTCCATCAACCTTCTCCACCTTGGGACTCCATATTCTTCAGGCAACTCTCTTAATACACCCAGACTCTTCTCCCTTCCCTACTTTTCTAGAACTATGGTTTCCCCTAGCAGAGTCTGTCCGCAGAGTCTGTCCTCAAAGTCTAGCATGGTGCCTCTAACTCTGGTCTCTTCCCCTGACTCATGGCCCAGCACCCCTAGCTGTAACCTCAGTCAGCTTCTCCAGAGCCCCCTCCCCAGCTGTGGGCACTAATGGAGTCTCCCCTGGATCCTCTCACATGGAGCCTTGCAATGCCCTCCCTAGAGCTGGCCCAGCTCAGCTGCTCCCCACTTTTCTCCAGACATTTCCCACTCTATACCCTAGGAAGAAGCCTTCAGCTGGGGGAGGGGTCTTGCCAATGACTGCCCATGGGCAGCGTGCTCAGCCTGGCGATGTAGTAGGCAGCCGGGCGGGGGTGGGGGGGCTGTCTGGACACAGGCCCCTTTGTGCCCAGCCTGACTTGGCTGCTTGGTATGAGGTTCAGCTGCTCCCAGATCCGTACCCCGAGGGGAGAAGGAGGTTTGAGAGAGGTGGGAAGATCTCATCTCTACTCCCCCCTCAGTATCCCACTCCCAATAGTGAACAACAGCCCTTCAGGTGTGCATACACACCTGGCACCGGCTGCTGGGGCTCAGTAAGGGAGGCTCTGTTGGGCATCCTCCGGCAGCCACTGGTCCTTGCTCCCCTCCTCCGTCAGGTCTGCCTGCAGCTCCTGCCAGCAGAGGGAAAGCCCAGGAGGAAGATGCTTGAAGGGTCCAAGGTGTTCCCACTGGGGGAGGCTCAGAGGGTCAAGCATGGAGGACAAACGCCTTGCTGATGGTGACTTTTCTCCTGTCCCCACAGAATGGTGCTGTGCCCAGCGAGGCCACCAAGAGGGACCAGAACCTCACACGGGGCAACTGGGGCAACCAGATCGAGTTTGTACTGACGAGCGTGGGCTATGCCGTGGGCCTGGGCAATGTCTGGCGCTTCCCATACCTCTGCTATCGCAACGGGGGAGGTACCCAGTGGCCACAGGGCAGGGACCACTCCCTCTGGTAGAGCCCACTCACCAGGGCCTGGGCTACTCTCTCCCTGGCTCAGACCCCACTCCAGAAAGGCTGGCCTCTGGCCCTCATCTGTATCCCTTCCTTAGCTTAAGTACAAGACTACCCTTCAACCCTGCTCCCTTGAGGCAAGGAGAAGTGAAGAAAATAGCTCAACTTCCTGGGGTTCACTCTCTTACCCTCGTGTGTCAGCATCTGCTGACATGTGTCATGTTGTGAAACTGATTGGTTAAACTATCCATTCCCACCCAAACATGGCAGCTCCAGGATTGGATTCTGTGGGGAGCCGACTTCCCAGGAGCCTCTGTCAAGTTCAAAGGCCGTTAGGGGACTATGCCTCAGATCCCAGCTCCTCCTCAGTGCCTGCCACACCCCTACTCTAATCCTATCCAATCACAGGGTTTTATTGTTGGGTTTGGAGCAAGAAGGCCAGGGGGATTTCCCAAGCCCACCCTGAGCCACACCTACCTCTCCCTGCCCACCAGGCGCCTTCATGTTCCCCTACTTCATCATGCTGATATTCTGTGGGATCCCCCTCTTCTTCATGGAGCTCTCCTTTGGCCAGTTCGCAAGCCAGGGCTGCCTGGGAGTCTGGAGGATCAGCCCCATGTTTAAAGGTAAGACCTGGGTGGGTGGGGCTGGCTCTCTCTGTCTCTCTCTCTCTCTCTCTCTCTCTCTCTCTCTACCTCCCCCCTCTCACACACACAGGCCTCTGGAGGCCTTGTCCACTAACACATCTGTATAAACACTGCCATCCCCTGTGGAGCCTTGGTCCTAACCCCCAGCCCCACATCAATGGCTAAGCCATAGATACCTGCTGGAGTCCATGTTTACATAGCCTCCACCCTCCTCTCCTGCCAATATACACACAAATTACTCCCTAATTCTCCTTGTTATGGCCTTGACCTGCCCCTCCAGCAGCCATCCATCAAAGTCTACCCCTTGGGCCCTCAGGAACTGTTCACCTCACCTCCTTCTGCTTAGATGTGTGACGCTTCTCCCCCAACGGTGCTGATTGGTTCCCCTTCTCCAGGCGTGGGCTATGGCATGATGGTGGTATCCACATATATCGGCATCTACTACAACGTGGTTATCTGCATCGCCTTCTACTACTTCTTCTCATCCATGACACATGTGCTGCCCTGGGCCTACTGCAATAACCCTTGGAACACGCCCGACTGTGCTGGTGTTCTGGATGCCTCCAACTTCACCAATGGCTCCCGGTCCTCCCTCCTTCCCAGCAATCTCTCTCACATGCTCAACCACACCCTGCAGAGGACCAGCCCAAGTGAGGAGTACTGGAGGTGAGGGCCCCCACTGGAGCCAAGCCAGAACAGGGGACCTGGAGGCAGCCCTTAAGCCCTCCTTGTCCCCATTAGGCAGCCATGTGCAGACTAGATCGGGTTTTCTGACCTCAGCTGTGTTAAGGTGGGTAAAGAGGCTGACAACACAGAGAGCTATGGAAGATGGCAAGTTGGGAAATCCTTACAGAGTAGTAGTGAGAGAGAGCTCCAGAAATCTGACAAGACTACAGAAAAGAATTCAGACAAAGGAGGATAGCATGCTGGTGAGAACAGCATAAGCAAAGGCTCTGGGTCCCAGATAAACAGAGGTTGATCCTAAGGCTGTGGGGAGACTACCATAGCCTGTAGAGGCACAATGTGTTCATAGAGAACTTACAAGAGTTAGGCTTCGATTTAGTACTGCAGACTAAAAGAAGCCAAGGAATAGCTAGGGTGCCGAGATCAAAACAGGCCATTCAGAGGTGAGAGACCAGAATCTCAGGACCTGCTGAAAGCAGCTATTGCTGCAAGTGTCCTCGAGCACCTTGTCCAAAGTGGTAGGTGAGGGTACTTCAGGACATCCTGGAAGGAATTTCCCATATCCTGTTGAAGAGCCCCAGGGCAGAGCCTATGGGTGAGTAGACCTCACTCATTCACTCCACAAACACTCATGATGTGTGCTCCGCAGAGCCTCTGCCCTGAGGAGTTCAAAGTCCGGTGGGAGACCGATAGCTAGTCATAGTAGAGGCAGGTGCTTTGGTATAAGTCTATGTATGGGGTGTAGAAACACCAAGGAGGTAGTAGTTATGGCTGCCTAGGAAAAGGATAAGGATCAAGAGAGCAGAGACTAGGAGGCCTATGGGAGCGGTGCTTGTGGGGACAACTGGAACAGAGGTGAGACCGGCAGGCAGCACATGCGCAAGAGTTCGTTGCTAGCCTGAGTTGAAGGCTTTCTCTGCCCTCAGGGAGAGCCACAGGGTTGATGCACAGGCCCCTGGGATTCTGCAGTGCCAGTGGGTCCTCCAAGTCCAGTCCAAAGGGCACAAACCTGGAGCACTAGATCCTCTGTGCCAGCCTCTGCTGGCAGAGGATAGGCCCTCAAAGGTGGGTAAGACACGGCTAACTGCCCTTAGAATGCAGTCTAGGGAACAGAACCTGTCTTCCAGTGAGAGCCTGACAGGCCTGGTGGCTCAGTCACTGGACAAGCTGTTTCAGAGGCAAGGCAGAACAGTGCGTAAGATACACGTGAACATTGTCTTATAGTGTTCATCCAGTAGAAGAGCTAAGCGGATATTTGCCCAATGCAAGGTGTAAACTGGGTAGCTTGATCTAGCCTGAGGATGATAAGTCCTGTTGGATGTTTCCAGAACCACAAAGCCTTCTGCTCCTCTTCTATACTCTCTCCCTATACCTTCCCCCCAACCAGGTCCTCCATAGTGCCTGTCCCAGGAAAAACTCTCAGAAGAAATCTCTGGAGGTTTTTATCTAGTAAAATCAGAGAATTGCCTTCAGAAATCTGATGGGGGCTGGGAGGGTGACTTCGTGGTAAGGGTGCTTGTCTAGTATGCATGAAGCCCTGGGCTCAATTCTCAGTACCACATAAACAGAAAAAGCTGCTGTGGCTCAAGTGGTAGAGCACTAGCCTTGAGCTAAAGAGCTCCAGGACAGCACCCAGGCCCAGTGTTCAAGCCCCACAACCAGGGGAAAAGAAGAAGAAGAAAATAAAAAGAAAGCTGATGGGGGGGAGGGTGGAGGGCACTGGGTGACCAGCTGAGCCCTGCACACAGGCCTAGGTTGTACCAAGCCTTCCTGAAACCAGCGCTGTCTCTAGCTCCATAGCTTCCTGGTAGAATAGCTCCTTACTGCCACCTCCTGGAAGTCCTGGGAAGTGACCTGTCACAATAGCCTTTGAGCTGGTTTCAGGAGATTTGCCCCCCGACCCCATATCCTGAGCATCTACTCTGTGCAGACATATTATTTCAGTAGACACTGTCATCCCCAGGTTCAGATCTGGAGGCTGATATTCAGAGGTTAAGTGGTTGCCAGTAACAGGGCCATCTGGTCAGGGGGGCCTGACAGATGTGGTCAACCCACAAGAACCTTTGAATAGTGGCATTAGAGTGGTTATGATAGCCCATTACAACTCTGTGTTAGGTAGATTATGCAGGTGTAATTTTCAAGATACCATTTTATGGGGTTGGAGGCATGGCTCAAGTGGTACGTCGCCAGCCAATGAGAGAAAGCATCAGATACGGAGTTTGAGTCCCAGTCTCAGACACCAAAACAAACAAAAAAGTTACCATTATATGAATTAGGAAATCAAGACCAAAAAAAATCTTTTTATGGTTAGTGTTAGATAGAGTGCTTGCCGAGCATGCAAGCGGCCCCCTTTGATCCTAGCAGTGTAAAAATAAGATACCTCTAATATAAGGTAAGTCCAGAGGGCAGATTTCTGAGCTACATCTGCTTCTTGCCTACCCTTCCCACTTAAACCCTCCTCCGCTCTTTCACCATTTCCTTCCACCTGACCTTCACATTCCTATCTGTGCTGGTCTGAGTCCTGCCACCAGGCCCTAGCTTCATGACCAGGCTTTCCCAGCTCCACAGCCTCTGTGGCATCCAACACCTGATACCCAACACAGTAATCCTAGCCCACCTTCCCCCTCCTCCTGGCACCTCCACCCCACTCAAATATTGTCTCTGCCACTTATGTCCTCTTTGGTCTTGGGAAGTCATCCAACCTCATGTATTTACCCTTCAGAGTGGTTATGATAGCCCCTTCATTGGTGTGTGTGTGTGTGTGTGTGTGTGTGTGTGTATGCATGCGCATGTGCACATGCACATGCCAGAGCTGGAGCTTGAACTCAAGGCCTGGGCGCTGTCCCTGAGCTTTTATGCTCAAGGCTAGTTTTAGTGCCTTATTTCTTGAGCCACAGCTCCACTTCTGACTTTTTTGTTGTTAATTGGAGATATGAGTTTCACAGACTTTCCTTCCTGGGCTGGCTTCAAACCTTGATCCTCTGATCTCAGCCTTCTGAGTAGCTAGGACTACTGACATGAGCCACCAGTACCTGGCTCCCTTACTGTTACAAATATGACATGAGATGTTCTAGCATAAACATCAAGAACTATGGTCGATGCTCAGTGGCCATAGCCACAGCCATGACTGGATGAGTGAAGACCTTGGCTATGGTAGCTCTCTTACGGCCTTTTAGATAGATAGATAGATACGTACATACATACATATGAAAAATAATAAGGCAGAGGCTCAGAGTTTGGAGTAGAAACTCTTCTGGGCCCACTGGTGGTAATAAATTCAAGTTCTAAAAGAAAAATAAATTAGAATAATTCCATACAGCCACTTTGTAAATATGTTGTGTTCCAAAAGTTCTTAACTGATCCCAAAAACACATGGCCTAAAACAACAACACACTTAAATATGGTGCCATCTAAAATAAAGCTAGTGTTTATTCTTTGGTTCTCAGGCTAACCTTCTAAACTCTTTAATTTCTAGTATGGTAATGCTATGTTCTTGCAATACAAAGTAGCATTACATACTACCAGTTTAAAGATGGACACTGGGGGTTCACAACTGTAATCCTAGCTACTCAAGAGGCTAAGATCTGAGGATTGAGGTTCTAAGCTAGCCTAGGCAGGAAAGTCTGTGAGACTCTTTATCTCGAATTAACCAGTAAAAAGCCAAAAGTGTAGGCATGGCTCAATTGGTAGAATAACAGTCTTGATCAGAAAAGCTAAATGAGAACATGAGGCCCTGAGTTCAAGTACCAGTTCTGGCACACACTGACAAATATACACACAACTCTAGTTTTTAAAATCCTTTAAACAATAAAGGGTTTCTTTACGTGAGTGCTGCTGTTTTGGGAAAGCATCTGTTGAGTGAAGCAGTAGAGACCAAGCTTCCCAGTACTGATGTGTCCAGTATTGGAGCACCCAGGCAGGAAGGGCCTCCATGCTTGGGTAGTCCAGAGCCCCAGCCCAGCTGCCCTCAGCTGTGGGGACCTCATCTGTTTACCTCAGTGGACCAACACATACTTTTGTCCGTGTGTGCTGTGAAGGGAGAGACAGAAGAGCCCTGTTGAAGGGGACCAGGAGCTTCTGCTGTTCCTCTTCCTGTTGTCTGTTGGTTCCTGGGGCCTCAGAGCCTGGAAATGGTCCTGAAAGTGCTTGGGGTTGATGCTGGCAGACTAGAGAAAGAGGGAGGGGACGGAGGGGGGAGAATGCACCCTCTGCAGGCCATATTATGAAGAACCTGGGTGGAAGATAGACTGCCAAAGGATCGTGCATATTGGTAGGCAGGCCTGCCAAGCAAACATGTATGCCTGCCTCTCTTGCAGTTCCTCTAACCTGGCCTGGCCTCCCTGGTCTCTTTGTCCATCTCTTCTCAACTCCTTACCACCAAAGCTGCAACCTGGCCTATTCTGAGAAGCCTTCACTCTGAGGCTCTCCCCACGAGAGTGTCATATCCCTGCCTATGGCACTTTGTCCCATCTTTGCCCCCTCCTTTCCTTCTAAAGCAGTCCTGCTTCTTTCCTCTGCCTTCTTCCATGAGGAAGATGCTGCTCCATGCAAGTCTGGATACCCAGTGGCCTGGCCCACAGCCTGGCATATGAGTGTCCTGTTGATTGAAAGAGCACAGCTGGGCCCATAGGGAGGAGTTCAGGAGCTTAGCACCTGGCTGTCTTCCCTTACTTAGTGGGAGATGGAGAAGACCAGGGTAAAATACTTAACAGAAGACTTCCTGGAAGAGGTGGCTCTGACAGGATGAAAGAGGGATTCCCGAAGGGCAAAATGCAGAGGCAAAGGGCAAGTGTCTGCGGGTGGGCCCAAGCAAAAACTGGGAGATGCCCATGCCCCAGGGGAGGCCTGGGCCTCAGATAACTCTTTGAGGCCAGGACACTGAGTCCTTGAGGGTCCCAAGAGAGGCTGCATGGCAGTGGACTTGTGTCAAATTGTCAGGAGTTGCAGTTGGCTGCTACAGGCTGGGCTGGCTGGGACTGGGGTCCTAAATGTGGCTCCCGTCTCACACAAACAGGCTGTTGTGGGAGAAAGGGAAGCAGCTAGCAGGCCCATGGGGTTTGGGAACTGCAGCATGGAGGCTGGCCGTGCAGTGATAGCCTCCCCTTCCCCAGGCTCTACGTGTTGAAGCTGTCAGATGACATCGGGAACTTTGGGGAGGTGCGGCTGCCCCTCCTGGGCTGCCTCGGTGTCTCCTGGGTGGTCGTCTTCCTCTGCCTCATCAGAGGGGTCAAGTCTTCAGGGAAAGCAAGTACCTTCCCCGACAGGGTCTGGCCCTTCCTGGGGTGTGGGTGGGTAGTGGGGAGGGGGTAACGATGGGTCATGGGAAAGAAAGAAAGGCCAGAGCCCAGTGGCGGTGGGGGTGGTTTGAGAGGTAGTAGCAGAGTGGGAAGGGGGGCAGAGAAGTCCATGGAGCCCTGTCCCCCGCAGGTGGTGTACTTCACGGCCACCTTCCCCTATGTGGTGCTCACTATCCTGTTCATCCGCGGAGTGACCCTGGAAGGAGCCTTCACGGGCATCATGTACTACCTGACTCCACAGTGGGACAAGATCCTGGAGGCCAAGGTGGGATGTGGAGGGGGACCCCAGGGGAGTCAGGGTGGGACCAGGGTGGTTACCTCTGCCCACATCACCTCACTAGCTGCCCTCTGCAGGTGTGGGGCGATGCCGCCTCCCAGATCTTCTACTCGCTGGGCTGTGCCTGGGGCGGGCTCATCACTATGGCTTCCTATAACAAGTTCCACAACAACTGCTACCGGTAAGAGGCCCCGACCTGCCTGGAGGCTGCCCTGTCCCCTGATCTTTCCATAGCCTGATCACCCAGACTCCCAGGCTCTGCCCTGCCAGGGCCCTCGCCTCCCATTCACAGCTCCAAGTCTTGACAATGTTGTATCTGGATGGAGTCACCAGAACGGGAGGAAAAGCTTTGGCCAAGACAGAAGAGATGAAACGAATCTGTGAGGGCTCAGGGGCCTACGACTCACTTTCACAAGGCCCAAGGAAAGGGGTAGGGGGAGCCTTTGATTCTAGAACTTTCCATGTCTTCTCTCTTGCCTCACATCAAGGAATGGGGAGCAAGCTGACACCCTATGGACTTGGGTCCAAGTTCTTTTTTTTTTGGTAAACTCCATCTTTTCCATTAGTCCAATAAAGGGATTTGTCAAATATAGATCTGCTCCCCTCTCTTGAACTCTGCCCCTGTTTTCCCCTCTCTCAGGGACAGTGTCATCATCAGCATCACCAACTGTGCCACCAGTGTCTATGCAGGCTTTGTCATCTTCTCCATCCTCGGCTTCATGGCCAATCACCTGGGTGTGGATGTGTCTCGCGTGGCAGACCACGGCCCTGGCTTGGCCTTTGTGGCTTACCCTGAGGCCCTCACACTGCTGCCCATCTCTCCGCTGTGGTCCCTGCTTTTCTTCTTCATGCTCATCTTGCTGGGGCTGGGCACTCAGGTACAGGTGCAGGGTGAGCTGGGGGATTGGGGAGGGAGAAGCAGGGCTCAAGGTCAAGGTCCCGCTCTGATAGCTGTGTCCTGCAGTTCTGCCTCTTGGAGACACTGGTCACTGCCATCGTGGATGAGGTGGGGAATGAGTGGATCCTGCAGAAGAAGACCTATGTGACATTGGGTGTGGCTGTGGCTGGCTTCCTGCTGGGCATCCCCCTTACCAGCCAGGTAAGAACCACATTGAGTTGGAGAAAGGCTGGGCTGCACTTGCCAGGGTACATGGGAAACAAGGGAGCCTGGGACCTTGGACCCTCCTGGCTCAGTTGCCTGCTGGCCCACAGGCAGGCATCTACTGGCTGCTGCTGATGGACAACTATGCAGCCAGCTTCTCCCTGGTTGTCATCTCCTGCATCATGTGTGTGTCCATCATGTACATCTACGGTAAGTGCCTGCACTTCCATGGCCCTGCCTGTCCATCCCTGGCCAGTCCTGCTGGGTCTGCTGACCCATCCCCCACCCTTTCTCCAGGGCACCGGAACTACTTCCAAGACATCCAGATGATGCTGGGCTTCCCTCCACCTTTCTTCTTCCAGATCTGCTGGCGCTTTGTCTCTCCAGCCATCATCTTCGTGAGTGCCTTGGGGCCCTCCCTGCCCCCTACTGGCCCTCAGCCAAGTGTCTACTTAGGAACCAGCAGAAAGGGAGCAGGAGTCCATCGACCTGGCCAGAGCTCTACACCCACAATTCTGGCTTCTGGTGTCTGAGGGAAAGATTGATCAGATAGGTGTAAGCCACCAGGCCTTAGCCTTGGCTTAGGAAGGAGATGTTGAGCCTCATATTTGACTGAAGGCAATGTCCATGCTTGATGGGGACAGTGGCCGCAGCAACTCCAGTGAGTCAGCCCCTCCCTGGTGTGTTCTGCCTGGCTTCTTCCAAGGGGGTTTCAGGAGGCTTTGCGATTGATGTCACTGCTCTCACTCAAGGAAGGAGAGGCATGGCAGGATTAGGAATGGTGGAATGTCCCAGAAGCATCCCCTTTTGATGCTAGTTTGTAGGAGGCAAGAGATAGTTCTGCTGTGGGGGCAGCTTTCCAATCTACTAGGAACTGGGTTGGCTTGGGGGGTGCTGTCCTTAATTCTACAAATGCTGAATGGAGAGCAGAACTGGTAAGAAGACCATTCCCTATTCCCCTCCTCCCCCCATTACAAGGAAATAGGCACTTCCTGAACAGTATCCCCTACCACCACCCTCCAGGGGTGATGAGGAAACCAAGACGTAGGGATACTAAGTAATGCCCAAATTACCCAGCTTACAAGACACAGCTAATAAAGGTCATGGTGTGGAGCGGGTAGCCTAGTTTGGAGCCAGCCTGCTGGGTGACCATGACTCTAGAAATCATGCCATAGGAAGGAAGAATGGCCTGTGAGTCTGAAAACCAGATCATTGGGGTCAGAGGCTGGGGGCATGAGTTGATAGTATAACAGTACAGAGTATAACAGTCAGATAGTTGATAGTATAACAGTCAGAGAGTATAACAGTTGATAGTATAACAGAGAGTATAACAGAGAGTATAACAGTTGATAGTATAACAGTCAGAGACATCACCTAGTGGTAAAGCAGCATCTAGTCAGCTTGGTCCGGCTCAACTTCTCAGTTCTACAGGGAACTCCACACTGAACTTCCACTCTGGCTCATATTTCTAATAAAAAGGCCCCTGGAGGGTAGAGGCCTCCACCACATGCGGTATGGGGATGTTTCCCCAGCTTGGCACAAGTACCAGCTCTGGCCACTGGCCCAGCTTTGAAACAGGAGGAGCAGACATCTCCTGTCAGGAGTTGGAGGCCAGTGAAGGCAGACACCACCACCCCACACCCTATCCTCTTGGGGCATGGCGCTGACCCAGCTTCTCAGCATTCAGGGTGGACTAATGACTGCCCTGGGGAGACCTGGGGGTACCTCTCGAGGGCAGGAGGAGTAGACAGACAGACAGACACAAATAGAGCCTATGAGTGCAGCCTCAGCCTGGGTTGTGTCTTCTTGAGACAAAGGGGATAGTGCCTCTCTGGGCCCAGAAAGCCAGGCTGGAGGTCCTTTGAGGAGAAGACTCTAGGCTCTGTAGAAACATCTGGACTGTCATACTCTTTTTTTTTTTTTTTTTTTTTGGTGGGGTCGTGGGGC